TTGAGTTGCGACCACATGGGTGAGTGACTGTGTGAGTTGCTGACCCCGTGGGTGGGTGGCCACGTGGAGGGGTCACCACATGGGTTAGTGACCCCACGGGCAGGTGACCATGTGAGTCGGTGTGAGCACATGGGGTGGCTGGCCACGTGACCCCGTGGGTTCGTGACCGCACACGTGGGCGGCTGGAGCCGGCACCATGTACAGAAGCCCCTCTCTGGTCCCAGGCGGGCTGTTCGTGGCCGGCATCAACCTCACGGAGAACCTGGGGTTCATCCTCGTCCACCCGGCCTGGTCCCTGGAGAAGCTGACCCTGTGGGGACTCCCCCACCTGTGCGCGTGGGTGCGGGCCCAGTGCCCGGGGTCGGCTGCCGGCTGCACCAACATCATCGCGGGGGACTTCATCGGTGCCACCGGATTTGTTAGTGACGTCATTGGGCTGAACCGGAAGCTGCTTCGGGGCTGACTGACGGTGCGCGGGTGGAGCTGGGCATCCCGGAGGCTGCTCCCCCGGCGCGTCCTGTGACGTCACCGGGCTGAACCGGAAGCTGCCTGGGGCTGACGGACAGCACGTGGGTGGAGCTGGGCACCGCGGAGGCTGCTCCTCGGTCAGGTCCTGTGACATCACCGGCCTTAACTGGAAGCTGCCTCGGGACTGACAGACGGCGCGCTGAGGAGCTGGGCATCGCCGAGGCCATTGTCAGCCCTGTCCTGCGGGGCTGGTGAGCCGTCCACCCGCGCACGGAATGTGGGTGGCTGCACAGGCGGGGCCAGGGGGCAGGGTCCGTGGGCTCCTTGGTCCTCCGTGTCTCTCTCCGCAGGCGTCGGGCACGGCGTGATGATTCAAGGCGACTGCGTCATTTGTACAGTCACATCCTCAGAGAGACACACCTGGTTCTCGGATCTGTGGCTTCCCCATGGGACAGGCTGGGGGACCCCCTCGCCCTGGGCGCTGAGAGCAGCAGACACAACCCCCAGCTTGAGGGGGGGGCACTGTTACCTACTGTCCATAGGAGGGGACTGAGCACATTATGATCCCACTGAGAAATCCCTTTATTAGATGAGGGGCTTCCCTGGTGGCTCACTTAAGGCCTACTTGTCTCTCCTTGCTATTCTTTGGAACTCTGCATTCAGGTGGCTATATCTTTCCGAGTCTCCTTTGCCTGTCTCTTCTCTTCTCAGCTATGTGTGAGGCCTCCTCAGACAACCATGTTGCCTTTTTGCATTTCTTTTTCTTGTGGATGGTTTTGATCACCACCTCCTGTACAAGGTTCGGAACCTCTGGCCACAGGTCTTCTGGTACTGTGTGCCAGATCTAACCTTTGAATCTGCCACTTCCACTGTATAATCACAAGGGATTTGAATAAAGCAAAGAAAAATGAAAATAATAGAATGGGAAAGACTAGAGATCTCTTCAAGAAAATTGGAGAAACCAAGGGAATATTTCATGCAAACACAGGCACAATAAAGGACAGAAACATTATGGGCCTAACTAAAGAAGAGATTAAGAAGAGGTTGCAAGAAAACACAGAAGAACTGTAAAAAAAAAAAAAAGGTCTTAATAACCTGTATAACCACAATGGTGTGATCACTCACCTAGAGCCAGACATCCTGGAGTGCAAAGTCAAGAGGGCCTTAGGAAGCAACAGTACAAACAAAGCTAGTGGAGGTGATGGAATTCCAGGTGAGCTATTTCAAATCCTAAAAGATGGTGCTGTTGTTAAAGTGCTTCACTCAATATGCCAGCAACTTTGGAAAACTTGGCAGTGGTCACAGGACTGGAAAAGGTCAGTTTTCATTTCAACCCCAAAGAAGGGCAACACCAAAGAATGTTCAAACTACAGCACAACTGCACTCATTTCACATGCTAGCAAGGTAATGCTCAAAATCCTTCAAGCTAGGCTTCAACGGTATGTGAACCGAGAACTTCCAGATGTATAAGCCTGATTTAGAAAAGGCAGAGGAACCAGAGATTAAACTGCCAACATCTGTTGGATCACAGAAAAAGGGAAATCCAGTAAAACATCTGCTTCATTGACTACACAAAAGCCTTTGACTGTGTGGATCACAACAGACTGTGGAGAATTCTTCAAGAAATGGGAATACCAGACTACCTTACCTGCCTCCTGAGAAACCTGTATGCAGGTCAGGAAGCAACAGTTAGAACTGGACATGGAACAACAGACTGGTTCAAAACTGGGAAAGGAGTATGTCAAGGCTGTACACTGTCGCCCTGCTTATTTAACTTATGCAGAGTACATCATAGATGGGTGGATGAAGCACAAGCTGGAATCAAGATTGCTGGGAGAAATAGCAATAATACATGCAGATGAAACCACCCTAATGGCAGAAAGTCAAGAGGAACCAAAGAGCCTGTTGATGAGGGTGAAAGAGAAGTGAAGAACCTGGCTTGAAAGTTAGCATTCAAAAAACTAAGATCATGGCATCAGGTTCCATCACTTCATGGCAAAAAGATGGAGAAACAATGGAAACAGTGACAGACTATTTTCTCGGGCTCCAAAATCATTGTGGACAGTGACTGCAGCCACGAAGTTAAAAGATGCTTGCTCCTTGGAAGAAAAGCTATGACAAACCTAGACAGAATACTAAAAGGCAGAGACATCACTTTGCCAACAATAGTTTATAATCAAAGCTATGGTTTTTCTGGGAGTCATGTACAGATGTGAGAATTGAACCATAAAGAAGGCTGAGTGCCGAAGAATTGATGGTTTCAAACTGTGATGCTGAAAAACACTCTTGAGAATCCCTTGAACAGCAAGGACATCAAACCAGTCAATCCAAAAGGACATCAACCCTGAATATTCATTGGAAAGACTGATGCTGAAGCTCCAATATTTTGGTCTCCTGATGGAAAGAGCCAACTCATTGGGAAAGACCCCGGTGCTGGGAAAGACTGAGGGCAGGAGGAGAAGGGGGCGGCAGAGGATGAGGTGGTTGGATGGCATCATCACCCCGGGCATTGGAAGCACAGAATGTTAACCACTGGCCTGCCAGGGAAGTCCCATTTGTGACTTTTTGTGACCATACACCTGAGAGGTTGCTAGCAGTTTTTATGATAATCCTTAAAGTATCCTTGAAAGTCCAAGGTTGATGAAGCACAGTGCATGGCTGCTGGGTCAGAAAATAAACCAGGGCTTCCCTGGCGGCTCAGTGAATCCATCTACCCATGCAGGAGATGAGTTCTGTCCTTGATCCAGGAAGATTCCCGCGTGCCGTGCAGCAGGTAAGCCCGTGAGCCCTGCACTGCGGAAGCTGGGAGCCCCAGCTGCCTGTGTGCCTAGAGTTTGCGCTGTGCCGCGAGAGAAGCCAGGGCAGTGAGAGCCCCGCACACCACAGCTCAAGAGTAGCCCCCGCTGTCTGCAACCAGAAGAAAGCCCACACGGCAGCAGACACCCAACACAGCCTGTACGGAATACAAAACCCAACCCAAAAATAAAATTTTAAAACAGAAACCACTAGCCCGCACAGTCAAGGATCTAGGCGCTGAAACTCATCTTGGTATCCACCCCCGTCAGATAGGTGTTGGGGGCGCCCCTGGGGGCTGCCCGCCCTACTCCCCCTCCCTGTGACCATGGCCTCCCACTCACCTAGCCAGGCCTGTTCTCGAAGCCCCCAGTATCCCTGGGACCCAATGTGGGGGGGGGGGGGGACAGGGAGAGCCTGTCTGCAGGAGGGTCTCAGGACAGCCTGGGTACTTGGGTGGTCTTATACCTGTTCTCACCATATGCCAGCCCAAAGCCTCTCCCTGAACCCCCTGAGATCCTGGGGCCCTGAGACCCCCAACCCCTCCTTGTCCCATGAAACCCATGCCCTCTGCCTGGTGAGACCCAACCTCCTCCTCCTCCCTGGGATCCCCTCTCAGCTCCCTCAGGAGGTGTCAGGCCCTGCAGGCACCTGCCTGTGTCTGCGCAGCTCTGAAGTGAGCTCTGCTCCCCCACGTTTTGGGGTACAGCTTCTAGGACTCGGGGGGACCCTGGGGAGCAGGTGGGGGGATACTGGGAGGAGAGGGGACCAGAGGCCAAAAGTGACCCACACTGTCCTTCCTGTGTCCTCCAGACTGAGAGGACTTGGGAATGGAGCTGGGAGGAACTGGGTGGCCAAGCCCTGGGGATCCTGGAAGAGACCATGACTGAGGAGGTCCTGGGATCACGTGGGAACCCCCAGGGCAGCCCTGGCCTGCTGAGGGGGGCTGGACCCCAGGAGCCTGGGGGTTCGTCCCAAGTCCCATGCTCGCCACCCAGCGGGGTTAGGGTTAGTGCCCGTCCACCCCACCTAGCAGACCCAGGAGGATGGAGGCCAGCAGGGGCTGAGCTGAATGAAGGGGAGCGGCCAGAGGCGCAGGGGCACTGAGGCCCTGAGTGGCTGGCTCCCCATTCTGCTCACCCCTCCGAGAGGGGGCTCTGCTCCCCGCCCCTGCACAGCCCTGCTTGTCCACCCCAGGGAGGACCTGGCTGTCGACAAGGAGCCCGACCTTTTATTTTCCTTTAGGTGAAAACACCTAACGCCTGTGCGATGGGTTACTGTGTGCCGGGCCCTATTAATGAGCAGATCCTTCCCGCTTGCTGGGTTCCTGTTTTAATCACTCCCTGGACACTGCCGTGTGCAAGGGCAGGCTGGTTGGATGGGACCCATGTGGGATATACAGCGGACACAGACTGGACCTTCTTACCTAGAAGGCAGCGTTCACGGGGTGTCTGCTGGGCGGCCGGTGACAAAAACCACAGAGGCTAGTTTACACACACACACACACACACCGCACAAAGCTTTCACTGTCTGGTGTGTTGTCAACCACCCTGGACAGACATCTGCTCCCCAGACGACCTGACGGTCGCCCAGAACCACTTAGAGTCCCACCGGGTCCCGTCCTCACAGGGCTGGCGGGGGTGGGGACGGTGGGGTGGGGGGCGAACACCCACCGCAAGTGCTTGTCTCTGAGACTGAAGGGTGCAACGCCCTCATCTTTGGGGGCGGGGGTAATCCTTTCACCCCGGAAACAGCTTCCGGAACCGTCCGTAAGCAGAGTCGCTGATGATGACTTTCACGTCGGCAGTCCCGGCCTCAGGGATCACGTCCACTGCCTGCACGGTGGCCTCCTGGTGAAGCCAGCTGCGAGGGCGATGACATTGGTGGGCGGGACAGGCGGTTGGTGGGAGACGAGATTGATGGGCGGGGCATGCAGTGGGGGGCACGTGATTGGTGGGCGGGAGATGTGATTGGTAGAAGGAAGATGTGATGGGTAGTAGGGAGATGTAATTGGTGGCGGGGGGGACACGCGATTGGTGCGGGGACACATGATTGGTGGGAGACGCAACTGGGAGGGACACGTGATTGGTGGGAGGGACAAATGAGGTGGGAAACTATTAGTGGGTGGAGACCCAATTGATCGGAGGGAGACGTGACGGGTGGGAGGGACACGCGCTTGGTGGGAGTGACACACCACTGGTGGGAACCAAGACCCTGACGGTGTCTGAACCCCTACCCAGCCTTCCCGGGATTGGGAGGCCGGTATATCCCACAGTCCCGGCGAGTGGACACAGGGCCATATACACCTGCTTGTGCTGGGAGGGAGACGCCATTGGTGGGAATGGAGACCCAGACGGAGCCTGAACCCCCACCCAGCCTTCCCAGGGTCAGGTGGAGGGCTGGTGGGGGGGGGGGGGGGAGTACCGTTTGCATTCTGAGACATGGACACGTGGCCAGACCCCTGCTCGTACCTGGTGAGCGCGGGGACGCAGGGGTGACAAAGCGGCCCCAACACCACGGCCTTGCCTGCTCACATGAATGACACCCCCACCCAGCACAGCGATGATCGCCGCTACCACCCCTCCAGCCACGCCCGCCCCATGCACCTCAGCTGTGGTCCAGCCAGCCGCACGCGGAGGGTGAGGGTTCGTCTCCCCGTGGCTCGCAGAATGGCGTCCTCCACCCTGGCCATCAGCTCATCCAGCCCGAGCCCCAGGAGGGCAGACACGGCCAGGACGTCGGGCTCCGCGGGTGTGTACCTATCCAGGCAGCCAGCAAGGGCGCTCAGCAATGATGACCTCACCCGGGCACCAGGTCACCTCGCTGTGGACTCGCACCATACACTCCAGGGGTGGGGGGCTCACCCGGGCACCAGGTCACCTCGCTGTGGACTCACAACATACACTCCAGGGGTGGGGGGCTCACCCAGGCTCCAGGTCACCTCACTGTGGACTCACACCATACACTCCAGGGGTGGGGGACTCACCCGGGCTCCAGGTCACCTCACTGTGGACTCACACCATACACTCCAGGGGTGGGGGGCTCACCCGGGCACCAGGTCACCTCGCTGTGGACTCACAACATACACTCCAGGGGTGGGGGGCTCACCCGGGCTCCAGGTCACCTCGCTGTGGACTCACACCATACACTCCAGGGGTGGGGGGCTCACCCGGGCTCCAGGTCACCTCGCTGTGGACTCGCACCATACACTCCAGGGGTGGGGGGCTCACCCGGGCACCAGGTCACCTCGCTGTGGACTCACACCATACACTCCAGGGGTGGGGGGCTCACCCGGGCACCAGGTCACCTCACTGTGGACTCACACCATACACTCCAGGGGTGGGGGGCTCACCCGGGCTCCAGGTCACCTCGCTGTGGACTCGCACCATACACTCCAGGGGTGGGGGGCTCACCCGGGCTCCAGGTCACCTTGCTGTGGACTCGCACCATACACTCCAGGGGTGGGGGGCTCACCCGGGCTCCAGGTCACCTCGCTGTGGACTCGCACCATACACTCCAGGGGTGGGGGGCTCACCCGGGCTCCAGGTCACCTCGCTGTGGACTCGCACCATACACTCCAGGGGTGGGGGGCTCACCCGGGCTCCAGGTCACCTCGCTGTGGACTCGCACCATACACTCCAGGGGTGGGGGGCTCACCCGGGCACCAGGTCACCTCGCTGTGGACTCAGACCATACACTCCAGGGGTGGGGTCTCACCCGGGCACCAGGTCACCTCGCTGTGGACTCACACCATACACTCCAGGGGTGGGGGGCTCACCCGGGCACCAGGTCACCTCGCTGTGGACTCACACCATACACTCCAGGGGTGGGGGGCTCACCCGGGCACCAGGTCACCTCGCTGTGGACTCACACCATACACTCCAGGGGTGGGGGGCTCACCTGGGCTCCAGGTCACCTCGCTGTGGACTCGCACCATACACTCCAGGGGTGGGGGGCTCACCCGGGCACCAGGTCACCTCGCTGTGGACTCAGACCATACACTCCAGGGGTGGGGGGCTCACCCGGGCACCAGGTCACCTCGCTGTGGACTCACACCATACACTCCAGGGGTGGGGGGCTCACCCGGGCACCAGGTCACCTCACTGTGGACTCACACCATACACTCCAGGGGTGGGGGGCTCACCCGGGCACCAGGTCACCTCACTGTGGACTCACACCATACACTCCAGGGGTGGGGGGCTCACCCGGGCACCAGGTCACCTCGCTGTGGACTCACACCATACACTCCAGGGGTGGGGGGCTCACCCGGGCTCCAGGTCACCTCGCTGTGGACTCAGAGCATACACTGCAGGGGTGAGGGGCTCACCCGGGCACTAGGTCCACCTTGTTGTGGACTTCCACCATACACTGCAGGGGTGAGGGGCTCACCCGGGCACTAGGTCCACCTTGTTGTGGACTTCCACCATGCTCTCCAGGAGGGTGTGTGGCAGGCCCAGGCCCCGCAGGGCCGACAGCACACTGGCCTTCTGCAGCTCCGTCTCGGGGTGGCTCATATCTCTGACATGGACGATCAGATCCTGAGGATCAGATGGGCCAGGTGGTCAGCTCTTGGGGCCAGGAGCTCCTACCCCCAGCCCCAGGACACTGCTCATCCAGGTGAGGGCAGAGCTCCCCACCACGAGGGCCTAACCTCGAGGGGTGGGTGCGGCCTGACACCACAGAGCGGCTCTGTGGTGAACGCCCGCAGCCCCCTCACTAGGGTTTCCATCACAGCGGCCACTCCCTCCCTGTGAAGCTGGAACCCCCAAACCTACACTGCTCGGCACCCCCAAACTGTCTCCCCAGTCTCCCGCCCCAAACATACTGTCCCTGCACCTGGGTGTGGCTACTGACCCCCACCACCAACCAGCCCAGCCAGCAGGGCCATGTTCAAAGCTCTGGGCTGGTCCACTTTACGGTGAAACCTTCAAGCTCACATTGTAAAGAAGTTCTTTCCCCCTGCCTCATATTTTACATGCAGCTTCCTCATGCAAAATTGGGAAAATAGAGATAAAAGGAAAGTAACAACGGACGGTAATTCTGTCACGGAAAGGAAGTGCTCTGAACGGTTTACGGATTCACTTCCAGGTTCTCTTTTTGATGAAATTAATTTTCTTTTAATTCAGGTTTCATTTCAGAAATTTTACATTTTCAGGAACCTTGGAGGAGGATGCATGCAGCTGCACGGTGCCCTCAGCCTCAGCTGCTGCGACCTAGAAGCTCCCGGAGTGCCTGGCCCTGGGCCCTGCCGCCCCCCTGCTGAGTAAACGCCAGGCTCTATTGGGGTTCACTGGCTCCGGGCCCCGGATACAGCCAACACAGAAAGGGAAACCGCTCTCATAGCATTTCCTTCAGATAAATTACAATTGCAGGGCTTCCCTGGTCACTTTCCTGGCAAGTGGTAAGAAATCCACCTGCCAATGCAAGAGATGTGGGTTCAATGCCTGGGCCGGGAAGATCCCACATACCATGGAGCAGCAACACCGGTGCTCCACAAATAATGAGCCGGCAGGCTACAACGACCGGCCGCCACAGGCTGTACAGGCCCTGCTCCGCAACAAGGGAGCCGCCACAGTGAGAAACTGGGCCCCACAACCAGAGAGGCCCCTCACTCACCAGTTAGAGACAGCCCCCCCCACTCACCGCAGTGAGAGAAGCCCCCAAACTCAGCACACTTAGAGGCCCCCCACTCACCACACTTGGAGAGAGGCCCCCCACTCACCACAGTTAGAGAGAAGCCCCACACTCACCACAGAGAGAGGCCCCCCACTCACCACAGTTAGAGACAGGCCCCCCCCACTCACCACAGAGAGAGGCCCCCCACTCACCAGTTAGAGACAGCCCCGCCCCACTCACCTCAGTGAGAGAAGCCCCCAAACTCACCACAGAGAGAGAGGCCCCCCCTCACCACACATAGAGAGAGGCCCCCACTCACCAGCTAGAGACAGCCCCCCCACTCACCGCAGTGAGAGAAGCCCCCAAACTCACCACAACGAGAGAGAAGCTCCCCACTCACCACACTTAGAGAGGCTCCCCACTCACCGCAGTGAGAGAAGCCCCCAAACTCACCACAACCAGAGAGAGGCCCCCACTCACCACACTTAGAGAGAGGGCCCCCACTCACCACAATTAGAGAGAGGCCCCCACTCACCAGAGTTAAGAGAGAGGCCCTCCACTCACCACACTTAGAGAGAGGCCCCCCAGTCACTAAAGTTAGAGAGAGGCCCTCCACTCAACACAACCAGAGAGAAACCCCCCACTCACTGCAGTTAGAGAGAAGGCCCCCCACTCACCACAGTTAGAGAGAAGGCCCCCCACTCACCACAAGCAGGGAGAGGCCCCCACTCACCACAACCAGAGAGAGGCCCCCCACTCACCACAGTTAGAGAGAGGCCCCCAACTCACCACAGTAAGAGAGACAGCCCCCCACTCACCACAGTTAGAGAGAGGCCTCCCACTCACCACAGTTAGAGAGAGGCCTCCCACTCACCACAGTTAGAGAGAAGGCCCCCCACTCACCACAGTTAGAGAGAGGCCCCCCACTCACCACAGTTAGAGAGAGGCCCCCCACTCACTACAGTTAGAGAGAGGCCCTCCACTCACCACAACCAGAGAGAAACCCCCCACTCACCACAGTTAGAGAGAAGGCCCCTCACTCACCACATTTAGAAAGAGGTCCCCCACTCACCACACTTTGAGAGAGGCCCTCCACTCACCACAACCAGAGAAACCCCCCACTCACCACAGTTAGAGAGAGGCCCCCCACTCACCTCAGTTACAGAAGCCCCCAAACTCACCACAACCAGAGAGAGGCCCCCCACTCACCACACTTAGAGAGAGGGCCCCCACTCACCACAGTTAGAGAGAGGCCCGCCACTCACCACAGTTAGAGACAAGGCCCCCCACTCACCACAGTTAGAGAGACAGCCCCCACTCACCACAGTTAAAGAGAGGCCCCCCCACTCACCACACTTAGACAGAGGCCCCCCACTCACCACAGTTAGAGAGAGGCCCCCCACTCACCACAGTTAGAGAGAAGGCCCCCCACTCACCACAGTTAGAGAGAAGGCCCCCCACTCACCACAGTTAGAGAGACAGCCCCCCACTCACCACAGTTAGAGAGACAGCCCCCCACTCACAATTAGAGAGAGGCCCCCCCACTCACCACAGTTAGAGAGAGGCCCCCCACTCACCACAGTTAGAGAGAAGGCCCCCCACTCACCACAGTTAGAGAGGCCCCCCACTCACCACAGTTAGAGAGAGGCCCCCCACTCACCACAGTTAGAGAGAAGGCCCCCCACTCACCACAGTTAGAGAGACAGCCCCCCACTCACCACAGTGAGAGAGACAGCCCCCCACTCACCACAGTTAGAGAGAGGCCTCCCACTCACCACAGTTAGAGAGAAGGCCCCCCACTCACCACAGTTAGAGAGAAGGCCCGCCACTCACCACAGTTAGAGAGAAGGCCCGCCACTCACCACAGTTAGAGAGAGGCCCCCCATTCACCACAGTTTGAGAGAGGCCCCCCACTCACTACAGTTAGAGAGAGGCCCTCCACTCACCACAACCAGAGAGAAAACCCCCACTCACCACAGTTAGAGAGAAGGCCCCTCACTCACCACAGTTAGAGAGAGGTCCCCCACTCACCACACTTTGAGAGACGCCCTCCACTCACCAAAACCAGAGAAACCCCCCACTCACCACAGTTAGAGAGAGGCCCCCCACTCACCTCAGTTAGAGAAGCCCCCAAACTCACCACAACCAGAGAGAGGCCCCCCACTCACCACACTTAGAGAGAGGGCCCCCACTCACCACAGTTAGAGAGAGGCCCGCCACTCACCACAGTTATAGAGAAGGCCCCCCACTCACCACAGTTAGAGAGACAGCCCCCACTCACCACAGTTAAAGAGAGGCCCCCCCACTCACCACAGTTAGACAGAGGCCCCCCACTCACCACAGTTAGAGAGAAGGCCCCCCACTCACCACAGTTAGAGAGAAGGCCCCCCACTCACCACAGTTAGAGAGACAGCCCCCCACTCACCACAGTTAGAGAGACAGCCCCCCACTCACCACAGTTAGAGAGACAGCCCCCCACTCACCACAGTTAGAGAGGGGCCCCCCCCCTCACCACAGTTAGAGAGAGGCCCCCCACTCACCACAGTTAGAGAGAAGGCCCCCCACTCACCACAGTTAGAGAGAAGGCCCGCCACTCACCACAGTTAGAGAGAAGGGCCCCCACTCACCACAGTTAGAGAGACAGCCCCCCACTCACCACAGTTAGAGAGAAGGCCCCCCACTCACCACAGTTAGAGAGAAGGCCCCCCACTCACCACAGTTAGAGAGACAGGCCCCCACTCACCACAGTTAGAGAGACAGCCCCCCACTCACCACAGTTAGAGAGAGGCCCCCCCACTCACCACAGTTAGAGAGAGGCCCCCCACTCACCACAGTTAGAGAGAAGGCCCCCCACTCACCACAGTTAGAGAGAAGGCCCGCCACTCACCACAGTTAGAGAGAAGGCCCCCCACTCACCACAGTTAGAGAGAAGGCCCCCCACTCACCACAGTTAGAGAGAAGGGCCCCCACTCACCACAGTTAGAGAGACAGCCCCCACTCACCACAGTTAGAGAGAAGGCCCCCCACTCACCACAGATAGAGAGAGGCCCCCCACTCACCTCAGTTAGAGAGAAGGCCCGCCACTCACCACAGTTAGAGAGACAGCCCCCACTCACCACAGTTAGAGAGAAGGCCCCCCACTCACCACAGATAGAGAGAGGCCCCCCACTCACCTCAGTTAGAGAGAAGGCCCGCTACTCACCACAGTTAGAGAGAGGCCCCCCACTCACCACAGTTAGAGAGAAGGCCCGCCACTCACCACAGTTAGAGAGACAGCCCCCCACTCACCACAGTTAGAGAGAGGCCCCCCACTCACCACAGTTAGAGAGAAGGCCCGCCACTCACCACAGTTAGAGAGACAGCCCCCCACTCACCACAGTTAGAGAGAGGCCCCCCACTCACCACAGTTAGAGAGAAGGCCCGCCACTCACCACAGTTAGAGAGACAGCCCCCACTCACCACAGTTAGAGAGAAGGCCCCCCACTCACCACAGATAGAGAGAGGCCCCCCACTCACCTCAGTTAGAGAGAAGGCCCGCCACTCACCACAGTTAGAGAGACAGCCCCCACTCACCACAGTTAGAGAGAAGGCCCCCCACTCACCACAGATAGAGAGAGGCCCCCCACTCACCTCAGTTAGAGAAGCCCCCAAACTCACCACAACCAGAGAGAGGCCCCCCACTCACCACACTTAGAGAGAGGGCCCCCACTCACCACAGTTAGAGAGAGGCCCCCCACTCACCACAGAGAGAAGCCTCCCAACTCACCACAACCAGAGAGAGGCCCGCCACTCACCACAGTTAGAGAGAGGCCCCACAACTCACCACAACCAGAGAGAGGCCCCCACTCACCACAGTTAGAGAGAGGCCCCCCACTCACCACAGTTAGACAGAAGCCCCCGAACTCACCAGGTAGAGAGAGGC